GACACAGTCCACAGGCTAGGCGTCCCACAGGTAGTGTAGCCTTTAAATTGAGGCACAGGACAAGCAAGGCAGCCGCACACTGGTCCAATGATCAAAGAGGGAGAGACAAGAAAGGCCAGACTCACCAAGGCATTTATCTCTCTGCCCTTCAGTCAATCCCACTTGTGTTTATCGGCCAGGCTGGCACAATAAAGTGTCTCACTGAGTTAAGGGGATTATTATTATTTTTGATGTTGGGTTCTACTGCCGAGAATTTTTGTGGTCTTCGTAATGTGGTATTATATGCTTGTTTTTAGAATTTAGTACTGAAATGAGGGGAGGGGGGCTCTAACTAAGCTTCTGCTGCACTGATAACTACTTAGGTGCCTCACAGTTGCTTCTGGTCACTTTACTAATGTAGCAGAATACCCCGCTATCAAGTTCAAACGCCTATATTGTACGCCCTCCAGGCAGAGCTTATTCTTTTTTTCTGTCTCTTCAGGTATCTGGCATAATTTTGTCCTTGCACTTGTGGGTATTTTAGCCCTCGTTCTCCTCCCAGTGATCCTCTTGCCATTTTACTACACGGGAGTCGGTGTTCTTATCACTGAGGTGGCTGAGGTAAGTAAGGATTCCCGGGGACATTCTTTCACCAGATTTATGATGTCATATCAGGAGCTTTAATTCACATTTTCCTACTATGCAGCACGCTTGGTTTCTTAGGAAGACATTACTAGAGTCCTTTGAAATGGAACAAATAATGATGTGAAACACATTTAAAAACAAACAAGATCACTTGCCATCGAGTTGATTCTGATGCATAGCATTCCTATAGGACAGAGTGGAATTGCCCCCGGCAGTTTCTGATTTTTCTATAAATCATTTGAGAAGTAGAAAGCCTTATCTCTCTAGTGCAGTGGTTCTCAACCTGTGGGTCAAGACTAAGGTGACCAGATTTTAACATTGGGAAAGCGGGACACCATTGATAAAACTCATCCTGGCGAAATAGCCACATGGCAGCCGAAAACCATATACCCTAGCTTGTCGTGCATTCTTTCCAAAAATCGGGACTTTTTTAAAACGCTGCGGGACGCAGGACAAATTGTTAAAAATGGGGAGTGTCCCACCAAAAGCGGGACGTCTGGTCACCTTAGTCAAGACCCCTTTGGGGGTCAAATAACCCTTTCACAGGGGTCGCCCAATTCATACCAGTAGCAAAATGACAGTGATGAAGTAGCAAAGAAAGTAATGTTATGGTTGGGGGTCACCGCAACATGAGGAACGGTATGAAAGGGTCGCGGCATGAGGAAGGTTGAGCATCACTGAATCCAGTGTGTCAGCAAACTGGGTGACACATACCACAGCACCCAGGGTAATCTCCTTCACTT